CAGCTTAACCCAGAAGTCTCAGATGCAGCTCTACCCTCCCAACCCCAGCTAATAGTCACATTTCCTCAAAAGCAGCCCTGTCTTTGAGTAGTTTTACCACTCTTTGTCCAATTTTCAGGATTCACTTTCCCTTACACACACGTATATACTCATACACATTCATACTTTAGTCCATTAATTTCCGCAGCTCCAACAATAGAACAAAAACTATATATTATAAAGATCTAGCTGATCCACTATAAGAGGACCTTTCAAAGCGTGCGGTCTGCCATATAGCCCAAAGTAGAAATATCTACAGGGAATTTTTTAAAATTTATTTTTTAAAGTCCCCGCAACCTCCTTTCCCTCTGGTAATCACCATACTGTTGTCTGTGTCTAAGAGGTTGTGTTTTATTTATTTTTTGCTAATCCCTTCACCTTTCTCACCCAGCCCCTCAACCCCCTCCCCTCTTGAGAGCTGTCAGTCTGTCCTCAATATTTATGAGTCTGTTTCTATTTTGTTTGTTTATTTTGTTCATGAGATTCCACATATAAGTGAAATCATATGATACTTATCTTTCTCTGACTGGCTTATTTCACTTAGCATAATATTCTCCATCCATGTTGTCACAAAGGGTATGATTTCCTTTTTTTACAGTCAAATAATATTCCATCCACAGGGAATTTTTTTTTTTAAACGGGATTTTTAACTGGCCATCTTCACATGATCTTGCGTGCACCTCTCTCCATTCCCCGCCTTTCATCTTTCCTTTTCCTTTTTCCCTAATCTCCTCTCACCTCTTAATTTTCAGGTTTGTCTCTACAGCCCTCTCGGAAGTCTTTTCACTTCTTCATAGAGAATCCCCACTCTCCTTGGCCACTATATTCAACTCTGGGTACCCCTCCCTTAGCAGATTTAAACCAATCAGCAGAACAAAGGCAAGCACTATAACAGAATCTTCCCTCCTTAGAATGCAGTTATAGTTGTAAGTAGCAGTTTTTCTCCATTTCATTACTTCTATTCACTGAGTTTATATTGGGCATTTGCTGGGTGCCTGGCACGGTCTAAGCACTGAGTCCTTATTCAGAGTGAATTCTCTTCATTGGTGTTGTGTTATCTTTAAGGTGCATCTTGTAGCAGAGTTACTGTATTAAAAGCTCTAGATGAACAATATTTAATATGCTCAGGAGGGTTAGAATCTGTATCTCAGAATATTTAAAGAAGTATGAAAAAGATTAGGCTAAGTAATTGACTGTTTATTTATTTTTAAATATTTTTTCTTTATAGATTTTAGAAAGAGAAGAAGGGAGAGGGAGAGAGAGACAGAAACATCGAAGAGAGAGAACACCAATTGGCCGCCTCCTGCATGCCCCCCACTGGGTACCAGGCCCACAACCTGGGCATGTGCCCTGACTGGGAATCAAACTAGCTACCTCTTGGTGCCTGGGTCGATGTTCAACCACTGACACACACCCCAGGCAAATGTGTTTATTTATTTTAAAAGTGGTTTTTAGCTATTATTTCCTTTTCTAATAGTGAATCATCTATAGTATAGTTTGAAGTTAGTAGTTAGCCTTTTACACCTATATTTCTTCAGTAGCAGAAATTAGAATAAAATTAGAATAATGGTATAATGGTGTGCATTTCTCAATGTATATAAATGCAATTCAGAAAAAAAACTCTTTTGTAAATCATGTCACTCTTACTCAGATGACCCTACTTAGAGGAATATCTTTTTTTTTTCATTGTATACCTTCAACAGAAAACATTAAATGCATATCTAATTTCACTTGGTAAGAATTTATTGTGTGTTTATTTCGTACCAAGCACAGGTATAGGCCCAGTGGGTACAGTGGGGGAACAAAACAAAGCTAATGCTGGGGCTTACATCCTAATGGGGAGACAGATGCTCAGCCGCAGACACAGAAGACACTGCAGAGGAATGGTAAGTGCTAAGCAGAGTAGACACAGGGACAGTGGTCCTAAAGGGAAGGCCTTGCTGACCTTGATGGAGAGTGAGCCATATGGAAACCTGGGGAAGCATTCTTGGTGGACAGAATAGCAAGCAGTGTCTGTGAGCTGGGCTGTGCTTAGAATATTTAAAGATGAACTTTTTTTTCCTTTCCTTTATTAATTTTATTTGATTTATTTTTATTTTTTTAAACTTATCTTTATTGTTGAATATATTATAGATGTTCCGTCTTTTTCCACTGTTAACCCCCTCCACCCCCCTCCTGCCTTTCCTTACACTGTTGTCTATGTCCATTGGTTATGCATATATGCATATAAGCTCTTTGGTTTATTTCTTCCCACCCCTCACCCCCCTTCCCTTTGAGGTTTGTCAGTCTAACAACCAATTTGTACTTCCTAATCCCTTCACCTTTTTCCCCCTTTCCCCCAACCCCCTTCCCATCTGACAAGCAACAAAATGTTCTCTGTATCTATGAGAATGTTTCTGTTCTATTTGTTCATTTTGTTTGTAGATTCAATTGTCGGTAGATATGTATTTATTGTCATTTTGTTTGTTCATATTTTTTATCTTTTTCTTCAAGAAGACCCTTCAACATTTCATATAATACTGGTTTGGTGGTGATGAACTCCTTTAGCTTTTTCTTGTCTGGGAAACTCTTTATATGTCCATCAATTCTAAATGATAGCTTTGCAGGATAGAATAATGTTGGTTGTAGGTTCTGGCTTTTCATCACTCTGAATATCTCTTGCCACTCCCTTCTGGCCTACAAACTTTCTTTTGAGAAATCAGCTGACAGTCTTATGAGAACTCCCTTGTAGGTAACTAACTGCTTTTCTCTTGCTGCTTTTAAGATTCTCTCTTTGTCTTGAACCTTTTGCATTTTGATGATGATGTGTCTTAGTGTGGGCCTCTTGGGGTTCATATTGTTTGGGACTCTCTGTGCTTCCTGGACTTGTATATCTGTTTCCTTTACCAATTTAGGGAAGTTTTCTGTCATTATTTTTTCAAACAGGTTTTCAATTTTTTGCTCTCTCTCTCTTCTTCTGGCACCCCGATGATGTGAATGTTGGCATGCTTAAAGTTGTCCCAGAGGCTCCTTACACTATCCTCATTTTTTTGGATTCTTCTTTCTTTTTGCTGTTCTGATTGGGTGTTTTTTGTTTCCTTATATTCCAAATCGATGGTTTGCTTTTTGGCTTTACCTACTCTGCTATTGACTCTGTGTAAATTATTCTTTATTTCAGTTAGTGCCTCCTTCATTTCTGACTGGTCCTTTTTTATGTTCTTGAAGCCCTCACTAAGTTCATTGAAATTCTGACTAAGTTCATTGAGCATCCTTATAAGCAGTATTTTGAACTCTGCATCTGTTAGATTGCTTATCTCCATTTTGTTTAGTTCTTTTCCTGGAGTTTTGTTCTTTTCTTTCATTTGGGACATATTTCTTTGTCTCCTCATTTTGGCTGCCTCCCTGTGTTTGTTTTTATGTATTAGGTTGAGTTGCTATGTATTCTGGGCTTCCTAGGGTGGCCTATTGTAGTAGGTGTCCTGTAGGGTCCAGTGGCACAGCCTCCCTTGTCTCCCAGTGGGGCCCTCAAGGTGCACCCCTTGTGTGGACTTTACACCCATCTGTTGTAATTGCATCTTGATTGCTGTTGGCACATCAATGAGAGGGTTTTACTCAGGCTGATCAGCCATAAGGACTGGCTGTTCCCACTGGCCACTGACCACTGACCACTGACCTCTGACTACCTTGGATGATCAGCTGTGCAGGGGCCCACCACACAGAGCAAGACTTACTTCATCAGGGCTCTGGTACTCACTGAGTCCATTCCTTGAGTGTGTCACTTGTGGAGGTGGTTGGGTGGTGGTGTTTCAACGTGGCCTGAAGCTGTCCAGTAGGTGTGCTGGCTCTGGGGCCAGGTCAGCCACTGCCTGTGTTCTACCCAGGGCCACTAAGCATAAGCTAAAAAGTGGTCTGCAGGTGGCTGCTTCTTGTGCTGGGCTTGGAGGTGCCCAGGCAAAGCCAAGTTGTGAACCAAGGCTGGCTGCTTCTAGAGAGGTATGGGGCTCACTGAGACTAGATGCTGCTTGTTTGAGAGGATTTAGGAAAATCTGAAGCAGGTTCCAAGACAGGCCATTCCTATGGTAAAGTAACTGGGAACAGCTTGGGTGGGCCTGAAAGTTGGATAGGGCAGGGACTTAGGGAATCACCAGGGTGGAGCAAATAATGTGAGCCAGGTTGCTGGAGTCCCAGATATGGCCACCATCTGCCAGCCTTATGGGGGAAGGGCTCACCAAAGGAACAAAGGGCTCCGACAGCAGGTCTGTCCAGGAGAAAGCTGCCTCTCCAGCCCTCGTCCCAATACCAAACAACTCAGTTCTTCCCTGTACGTCTCTGGTGCCTTTCAAGCTGCCTTACCCATGCTGGAGCTCAGAGGAAGCGGTCCAAATATGTGCACTGGCCCTTTAAGAGGAAGTGCCTGGGGCTTCAGCAGCTCAGCCTCCCTCAGCCTCAGTTCCTGCTGATTTTTACAGACAGAAGTGATAGGGACTTCTCTTCCTGGCACTGGAACCCTGAGCTGGTGGCCTGGTGTGGGATGGGGACCCCTCACTCCTCAGAGAGGACCTTCACAGCCAAGGTATCCTCCTGATTTTTATCCACCACATGTGGGTGTGGGACCAGCCCGTCTGCCTTCGCCCCTCCTGCCAGTCTCCATGTGGCTGCTTCTTTAATTTCATAGTTGTAGGACTTCCATTAAGCTCGATTTCAGGCGGTTCTGAAGAATGGTTGTTCTGTAGTTTAGTTGTAATTTTGATGTGATTGTGGGAGGACGTGATACCGTGTTTACCTGTGCCCCTTCCTGACTGGAAGTCTCCTTTATTAATTTTAGAGAGAAAGGAAATGAGAGGGAGAGAGAGATAGAAACACCGATGAGAGAGAACATCGATTGGCTGCCTCCTGCATGCCCCACACTAGGGACCGGCCGGACTAAAGATGAACTTTAGCATGATACTAAACCTGTTCTTGTTCACACTTCTATTTTTCAGGTATCCGAGATGTTTCTAAGTGGAGTGAGAAAACAAAAAAGCCTCTAGAAACTCTATATGGGTATGACTACTTTTCAAAAACCTGTGAAAAGTGGGTGGATGGCATAACACAGTTTAAACATCGTCCAGATGGTAGGTTACATGAACTATTTAATGTGATCACAGAGGTTACTTGAGTTTTTTCCCTCATGTCAGAATTCCTCAGGGATGATACATTGCCCACTGTCCTCACACAGAAGTGTGGACAGAGGACACGAGAGACTGTACACTACAAGTTCTCATGTATTAATCCACTTTCAACTGGAGACAGATTGTATACAGTATAATGATTTATATTGTTGAGTCTTTAATAGCTGACTGTTCTTTTTGCCTTCCAATAATTTGTATGTGATGACAAAATACTTCTCTAGAAGCCTCAAATAGTTTTTATTTTCTAATTTCAGAATGAGGAATTAGAAAACAAATAAACTGCCACATGTACCACATTTTTACTTTTTGCCCATTTGGATGAGTTATCCCACGATGGAGAAGGAAGGACTTTCTGTCATGACCTTTAGCCCCAGCAGAATTCCAGTGAGGAAGAGAGTGTTCAGTTCTTTTCCCATCTTTAGAACTAAGTTATATGACTTTAACCCTAATCGATATCTCCCTGTCTATATCTGAAAAATTAACATGGTTTCTAATTACAGTAAGAATTGACATCTTTAAGAGAAATTCTGAATTAAAGTATTTTATATAGATATTTACATTTGTAATCTCTTTTTTTATTTTTTGCTGAAAGAAGCGAGAGTAGCTAAGATCTAATCATGGAGCACATTCTGTTACAAAATCATAGTGACTAAGGAGCCAATTTGATCTCTTAAGTAATCATTTCCAGAATGAGTCATGTGTCAAAACTTTCACAATGAAAAGGACATTTGGAAATGTTACTTTCTTGGCTTAAGTTCAAAACAGCAAATATATCCTGTTCAAATACAGTCTCCACACATAGAAACAGGTCTCTAAAATCTCTTTCCCTCAGCTCTTAAAGCAAACAAAAAAAGTGCTATACAGCAGTGTCTGAGACATTAAAGAGGGCGACTTTGGGAAATGTAGACTTTTGTGTTTTCTTGAAGAGAGTAATGAAAATGTAGGATTACTCAGGTAGAAGCAGGATTAAATGAGCAGTTCAAAAATATGTCCTGTATTTGAAAACGTATGCTCTGCAAAAGGCACTGTCAAAAGAATGAAAAGACAAGCCACAGACTGGGAGAAAATATTTGCAAAAGACCCTTTTGATAAAGACTGTTATCCAAAATATACAAAACTGAACAAAAACTCTTAAAACTGAACAATAAGAAAATAACCTGATTAAAAGATGGTCCAAACAACAATCAGGTTCCACTCTATTAGAACGGCCACCCAGAAGAATCGTAGAACAGTGAAAATGCCCTCTGTAATACTATACTGGATATATGTCATTATACATGTGTCCAAACCCATAGGATATCCAACACCAAGAGTGAACCCTAAGGTAAACTATGACCTTTGGGTGATAATGATGTGTCAGTGAAGTTTCATTCACTGTAAAAATGGGATGTTGATAGTGGGGGAGGCCATGTGTGGGGAGACAGGGGGTATATGGGGAATCTCTATACCTTTCACTCAATTTTGCTGTAAACCTAAAACTCTAGAAAATAAAATTTATTTTTTAAAAAAGAAAGGGAGTAAAAAAAAAAAGTCATAATACAGAGGATCTAGCAGTATATCAGTCATCTTACAGCAAAATTGTTAGCAAACTACTCATCTCCCTTTTGTATTAATTAATTTGACAGGAGCCCTTTTTCATGGTTGTACACTCAAGTTAATGGGTGCTCAGACAAGCACAGATTTGGAGTTAGGCAAGCCTGGGTGTAAATTATAGCTTTGCCACTTGGCTTGCTGTTAGAATGGATTCCGGCAGACCATTTAGCTTCTCTAAGCTGCAATTTCCTGTCTGAGAACTAGAGATACTAATAACTACCTCATAAAGTTGTTCTGAAGACTAAATGAGTTATATATGTTCAGCTTTGGTACAGTATCAAGTACAGAGTAAGTACTTAATAAAAGTACTTGATTTACAAACAGTTGTACATACTAAACATGTAACTACTGTAAGTGTTTCATGGGTATTAAATAATCTGGACAGTTCCTAACATAGTGAGCCCTCAGTAACAGCAGCTTTAATTATCTGAGTTACATTTGGCAGATGTGTGTCATCCCAGGGACAGGAGAGGGAGGCTTCAGAGACCTAGAAAAGTATTTCCCTGGTCAACCTCATTTATGCCCCCAATTGAAGGGGGGGGGGGAGGCCAGGTGCCTGGATAGCACCTCCTGGCTGGTCCCCAGCTTTCTCAGAGCTGCAGCGCTTCCTTCTTGACACAGGCAAAGGAGAGGGGAGGAAGGAGCTGGCTTTGTGGAATACCTGCTGGGTGCCAGAAACCTGAGTTATGGCATCTTTTCTTAGCCTCTTGGCCACCCCAGGGAACTGGGATGAATCCCTGTGTGACCAGAGGAGAAGGCTGAAGCTCAAAGGGGCTAAGGAGCCACTAAGATTTCATAGGCAGGAGGTGGCAGGACAGGAGCTGGAGCCCAGGTTGTACATATTCACCTTAGAAATGTTATACATGGGAGTGAGGATCTTACAATCTCTCAAAAGTATGTCAGTCAGGAATGTCAGAGGCAGGAGGGCTTAAGAGATTCATTATGAGGTACTAACCTTTGAGCGCTAGCTGGGACCCCAAGGACTCCTTAAGACATTATTTCACAGCAGGAGTTTTTCAGATACCAACCACCTACCATGGTTGTGCAAACTGGGAACTGCCTCTGTGTAATACAGAGTTGTGGGAGTATTTTTGTTCGTTTGTTTTTCTTGTTATACATGAATTATGAATTTAAATCAGGCAAAACTTCTAATAGAGCTTTAAAAGAAAGAGAAAAAAAACAGCATAGAAACAGAGAAGGAAACCCAAAGAATGTTAGGGCTGGAAGGCATCTCAGACCCTGTCTAATTGAAACCACTTTATGACAGACTGGGACACAGGTCTGAGGAGAGGTGTGACTTGCCCAGCTCTCTGCTTCTCCTCACCTTGTGAAATGGTCACATCAAAGCTGACTCTCTGTGCATTTGTTTTCCAGGTAATATCTGTCGACACCTGCTACCCCTGGTTCAGTGCCCCACTCTAATTGTGCATGGTGAAAAGGATTCTCTGGTCCCACGTTTTCATGCTGACTTCATCCACAAACATGTGAGAGGGTCACGGTAAGTCCATTCTCCACTCAGTGCCTCTGACGTTTCAGAAGGAGCTGCAGGAAGGAAGAGAAACAGGGAGGCTGGGGTTTTTTAAAGTGGCCCCCACCCCCATGTTGCCAATGGCAGTGAACAGTACCACTGTCTACAGAGCACTGGGGAAACATGGGGCACAAGGGTCCCTGGTTTGTGGATAACCAGTAATTGAAGGGAGGGGATCTCAGATACATACATGTCTCTTGTTGCTGTGGTGGCCACTGTGCTGATACATACCAACTTCTGTAGCATTGGAGGTAATTTAGATTTATAACAATCTTTGTTAACTAAAACAATTTTAGACAATTTGGGAGTTTTCAATCTAGTTTATCATTATAAAAGCACTACCTAACCAATAAAGAAAATTGGTAAAATCAGAAAATGGAAACAAATTGCCTTTTGCTTGTTATCCATTTAAATTCTTTCATTATTAGCACTTTCGTATTTCTCCCTTTTTTAACATAGTAATAATCATATTCTATATTCAACTCTGATGCTGCTTTTTTTCCACTTAAAATTATGTTGTAAACTTTTTGTGTTATTTCACCCTTAAATATGTACATACCAGGTGATAAACCTGTTATTCTGAATTATGAAATGCCAGCATATGGCTGACCATGCTGGCGTCTTGGTCAGATAGCAGACACGTGTCGCTTGTTCTTTGCATTCTGATTTCTGCCACCCAGCTTTGGGCATGGGGAACATTACAAGACATGTCAGCAAAGATGGTGTTATTTGTATGGAGTAAATAGAAATTTATGTGTTATTTATTTTTATTTTTTACCTGGAGAACATTATGCTAAGTGAAATAAATTAGTCAGAGAAAGACAAATATCATAGTATTTCACTCAAATGTGGAATTTAATGAAGAAACTGAACTACCAAGCAAAATAGAGACAGACTCATAGATAGAGAGCAGACAACTCGGGTCGGGGTGGAGAAGGGCAGAATTGAGCAAAAAAGAGAAAAAGAGAACTCATCCACATGGACAACAGTGTGGTGATTGCAGGGGTGGGGTGGGGTTTAGAAGAGGACATAGAGGGGATAAATGATGATGGGAAAAGTTAAATTTAAATACACACACACACATATAAAAATAATTGGGAAAAAGTAGAAATTTATATTTTAAATACTTTGGCTGACACTGGAGCCAGCTTTTGCCAGCCAAAATATATAGCCAGGTATATGAAAATTCAAAGTTGAATAAATTCAGTATTTCCCTTATATGCAGTGGCTACATATCCTGAAGAAGAAAGTGAGGTGTGACTGGAAGATAGTGACCTAATTTTATAAAAAAATAAACATACAGGGAAATAAATATCCTAGTGAGCCTTGACCCCTTCAAAGACTATATAGTAATTTTAGAGATACTGTCATTGCTCAGGACGTCTTTGGTATTCTATAGAATTCTTTTGAAAATGGCTTTTGCCTTGACCAGCTTGGCTCAGCGATTAGAGCGTCAGCCCATGGACCAAAGAGTTGTGGGTTCGATTCTGGTCAAGGGCACGTACCTCAACTGCAGGTTCCAGTTCCCTGGCACTGGCTGGGGTCGTGCAGGAGGTAACCAATCAATGTGTCTCTCTCGCATCAGTGTTTCTCTCTCTCTCTCTCTCCCACTCTGTCTGAAAATAAATGGAAAAGTATCGTCCGGTGAGGATTCAAAAAAAGAAAAGAAATTGGCTTTTATTAGCGGCCTATTAAAATCCTTCCTCACTTGCTCGCTCCTTGCCTCCTTTTCTCCCTCCCCACTCTGTTCCTTCTTCCTCCTCTCCCTCCCTCTTTTCCCTTCATGAGCAATTTCTGATGCCTGCTGTGGGCCAGCACTGCCCGAGAGCTCCCACAGTTCAGCAGAAACAGTTCCACTGCTTCCCAGTCATGCTGCTCTGTGCTATATTTTAACAAACACATTTCTCAGAGAATGTTGAGATGTGGGGGGGTATGCTTCTTATTCTGATAAAATATAATTACCATAAACCTGTGTAATTTCTATATTTATATAGCATTTTATATTTAAAAGGTATTTTACATATAAAAATCTAATTATACTTTATAACTAACTTATGAAAAAGAAATATTGTCCCCATTTTATAGATAAGAAAATCAAGGCTGAGATGCTAAGTAATTGTCCAAGGTTACATAGCCAATTAAAGACAAATCCTAGATTTTTTTCTCCTAATATAGTGCTTTTCCCCCACAGCACAGCTGCCTCTCATAAACATAGTCTTATTTTAATATGATGGTTAGATGCCTGGATTATATACTTGTTGATCTGGTTAATTGTTTTATAGCTTCAGAAATGACAGGCTTCTGTATATGACTCTCATAATAAATGCATGTGTTCCCTTGGAGAGCCAGGTTCAATAAAAGTCAGTCTGCAACAAAGTTTAATGTAGGAATTCTGTTCCAAAGACATCTCCTAACAACAGAATACATCAGTAAGAGAGAAAACTATTCCCTTACTGTTCTGATATAATTGTCTCAGTAGATTATTTTATGGAAGACCATTTTCTTAGAGCTATAGTCTTTGAAACAAATCAGCTGAAGGTAAATTGCTATTAGTGGTGATTATCTAAAATTGGCTTACAGTTTACACCCACTCCTTTCCTCTGCTAAAACAGCCCTTTATGTTGGACATGAATTTACATAGAACTGATATAGTTTATTTTGAACCCCACAAAAGGAAGGTGGATTCCTTGAGCACCAAAGTCATCCTGTGGTTCTGTATACCATGCCACTTGAGAAGAATATAGCAATTCAGAGTGTAGCAAGCTCCAGTGAACTTGGTATTTTATTACCTTGCCCGGTACATTTATACTTAAACTTAAAGACACAGTGTATCCCTTCAAAGATCTTACCAACAAATAAATATCACATGTGAAACCGATGCCTTTCTCTCCTCAGGAGGAGACTAATGAAGGGTGGAGTTGTTCAACAAGCCTGCTTCCTGCTCATGTTAATTTGTCCCTCTCTCTATTTTCTCTTTGTGGGAGAACAATGATAGAATCTCTTGGAAGCAAAGAGGCTGTAGTGATCATTGAAGTTCATTGGTTTTAAAAATTGTTTTTAGGCAGTTGACCCTTCCTCCTAACAAAACTCTTATGCAGAAGTCTAAGATATGAAACATGAAATAAGAGCTGGTCTGATTACAACAGTGATGGGGTGCAGACCCAATCCCTTTGATTCTCCTTGTCCTGCCCCAGCCCCTGTGCATCCCTGGCTTGTCCAGCCCTCCCTCCAAGATGGAAAAGCACTGACATCGCCTCACCACCTGTCTAGCTAGTCAGCCTCTGCTTGGGCGTCTCCTGTTACAGACATGAGGCCAGCCCCAGCTTGTTTGCAGAGAATTTGCATTGAGCAGAGATTGGCACCTGTCATGTTCTTTGGGGTTGGGGTGGGGGGGCCCCCAGAGGCAGTGAGGCTCAGACATCTCAGAAGAGGTTATGACTCCACAGCTTATTGAACTGTGTGTCTGCTTATTATGTGTATTAGTGTGCTAGGGCTGCTACAACAAACACCAGAGACAGGGAGGCTTAGATAATACAAGTTTATTTTCTCACAGTTCTGGAGGCTGGAAGACTGAGATCAAAGTGTCATCAGGGCTGCTTTCCTCTGAGGTCTCTCCCCATGGCTTGTAGACTGCCGCCTTCCCTCTGAGTCCTCACGCCGTCTTCCCTCTGTGCCTTGGTCTCTTCTTATAAGGACACCAGTCATATTAGGGTGGGCCCTGATGGCCTCATTTTAACTTAATTACCTCTTTAAAGACCTATATCCAGATAAGGTCACACTCTGAGGTACTGGGGGTTAGGACTTCAACATACATGTTTGCGGGGGATGCAGTTCAGCTCATAATGGTATGTTTCTGAGGAGATGTTCAGATCTAGGAATTAGAGGCCCAGCAGAGGTCAGGATCTGGATTTGAGACCCAGCTGCAAATGGCCAGCACCTTGCCTGGAACCTTTCTCTACTCCTTACCCTTTCACTGCCTGGCCAAGAGTACTTATCCTCTGGGTTGCAACTCAGATGTCTCCTTCTCCTCTTCCTCCTCCATCTCCAGTTACTCATCTGTCTGAGGCCTCACAACTCCTTATGTATACCTTTTACAGCTGTTAGCTTGTGAGTTTAGTTTTCCACCTGTTTGGCATGTCAACACCTATCCCAGAATGCAGTCTAATACATGTTGAAAGAAAGAAAATGTGAGAGCCAGATAGGCACCTAGGGCCAAGCCTCTGTGGATGGCCAGGGGTCACTGACTGGTGACTCAGGGCCAAAAATGATGATACAGAGTCCTACTTCACATTCTGGGGCTGAGCCAGAAAGCCAGACCAGATGGGAAAGAACGAGTAACATCCATGTGCGCAGAGTGGCACCTGGGGCCAGTTCCAACCAAAGGGGAGAGGTGGGAAAAGGAGTTTTGCCTGGAGAGCAGAATTGGTATTTGGGGAGCCTGAGCAACACTCATAGCTGTGGGAGTGAAGAACAGTACGCAGGGGTCTGAATGCTGGCTTAGTCATTCATTCAAGAAGTGTACATATCTGTGCCTGTTTCCTTGTGTATAAAATGAGGATGATAATATCTGTCATTCAAAATACTTTTTGAGGAGTGAATATTTGTACAACACACAGTAGTGCCACTTTTGTGGCTGGAATGCTGGTGTGGGTACAGGTGATCAGGAGCCCCAGGAGACAACAGAGTGTAGTTTAATAGTAGGTCAGAAGTAAGTTGCTCTCTGTCCCAACATTCAGCACCATTATTCGTCTAGGTGTATGGGTGTATTAGGATTCTCCGAGAAACAGAACCAATAGGACACACACACACACGGAGGCTTATTTTCTGTAAGGAATAAGGGATTGGCTCATGCAGTTATGGAAACTGAGAAGTCCAAGATTTTTCATCAGAAAGCTGGAGCAGAGTCAGGAAGGTGGGGACCCAGGAGAGATGAGGCGTAGTCACAGTCCGACTCTGAGAACCAGAAAGGGCTGATGTTTCCCTTTGAGTCTGAGAAGCTAATACCCTAGTTCAAAGAAAGCCAGGCAGGAGCCTACTTTGTTTTTTATTAAAAAAAAAAATGTTCATAGACTTACTGGAAACTGTGGGTTCATAAATAATTTAGAATGTTATTTAGTGGAGAAAGAATGCTGTAGCACATCTGTGGCCTTGTTCATATCTGTAGCTCTCAGCTTAATTTGAAAACTGGAGAAGGTTAGACCAAGGAAGAGATGGTAACATTGTTTTTCCTTTGCTACATGGCCTATAAAGTGAGGTCCTAGAAGGACTATATCAAGAAGTAAACTGACCACAAGTTTTACTATGAGGTTAGACAATTTCTCTAAAAGATCTAGAATCAAATCTGGCAAATGGGGACTTCTGTTTCCTGTCTCCGAGGCCCCCAATTTCCAGCTGAATCATGTGTTTGGTGGTGGCGATTTCCTACTAATTTTCCTGGGGAGTGTGACTGAAACACTTCCCATGGAGCATGTGGTTGGATCCTTTTGTTATTTGGGTGAGAACCTGGGTCAGCAGTAGAGTTGCTAAGTTGCCTTGACAGCTATATATTGACTCCTGCCTAGCGTGGTACTGCTCCCAAAAAGTGGCCCCTTTAAGGATAGTGGCCCCTGTGTCACAGAGGCTTTAAGGATAGTGGCCCCTGTATCAAACCTAAAGGAGGGTGTATTCAAGAACTTGACAGACCCCCAAAAAGTATCAGGGAGAACAGCAATTTTCTTTATAACTTATCCATCTGTTCATCCATAATTCAGTACAGTTCTGAATGTGGATGCCTCAGAACAGATCTCCCATATTTTTAATGAAGGAGACCAGGTTTTCATTTTCCTGAGACCTAGAGACTATAGGAAGAATGCAGACAGCACTGAGGCTAAAAATAAGGGATTCACTGCTGGTGTCTCCTTCCTTGGGGGGGATTCTGAATGCATCCTAGAAATGGGGAAGGGCACGTCATAATCTGCATGGCTTTCCACAAGGGAGGACTTGCAAGTTGGGCAGACTGAGGTCTCTGCTTCCGAACCCAACTTAGTACACATTACAGGATGCAGTTTAGCCTAGACATGCCCTTTGACCTTTCAGCATCTTTAGCAGTTGGTTCCTCTGTCTCCTAAAAACAGAGGCCTTGATCGTCCCTACATGCCCTGTTCCTTGTGTAGGGCAACTGGGATCCTATCTTTGGGGTTGATGCAGTTTGCCCTTCATTAATGAACAGCTTCAAAACTGAATTTGGAACATTCTAGTTACTATAAATGGCCTTAACTTTCCTAGGAGCCTCAGAAAGATGCCAACAATCAGTCCTCTCCTCCTCTGAAGTAAATGACTTTGATTAGCTGAGTACCCCCTCCCCCATCCCCATGTGGATGAGCTGCAAGGACAGCTGTTCCTCAGGACCCTTTACCAAGTCTTCCCCAGTGTTCACTGAGGTCCCGAGAGCTCTCAGACCCCCAGTGGTGAAAGACCAGGCAGTTAGCCAATGTGGTAACTGGCATTTTGCCCTAGTATCCTTTTAATGTCCAATTGTGATTGTGGACAGAATAGCTTGAACTTGTGCTTATATTCCAGAAGCTTTAAAACTTTTATTTCTGTACTTTTATAGCCAATAAATAAAATGTAGAACTCAGAGAAGGCTGCCTTTATTAAAGAAATTGCCAACTAGCCATGTTTGACCACAATCCTTTTGAAAGGAAGGAGCCTCATTAAGACAGTGAGGTTTGCCACAAAAGATGTAGTAACAGCTGCAGAAAAGGTTGCTGATGCAGGCTGTTCCTGCCCTCACAATCTTAGGAACACCGTTCTCCCTTTGCCCTGTGGCTTGTATCGAGTTAGTCTGTTCTCAAAAATGTCAGGGCAATTTGGAAACTTGAACAACACTCTGGTAGTGGCTAAACTGACCTGGGTTTTCCCTACGTAGATGCCCCACAAAGCTCACCTGTTCTAATCCAGTGGGTTTTGGACCTGTTGTATTTTATCATCTTTCCAACCTTCTGTTAAAATTAACCTTATTAAAATGGATTTTTTTTTTTTAGATAACCACCAAACCCTATGTCCCACTCTGTCAGGTTCAGTTAAACCATTCAATACATGCTACAATTCCAAGTACAGCCTCCAGGTCAGTCATATACTCCAGGAGGCTTTTATTCAAGTACACATTCAGGAAAATTTATACTGTGTACCTTACATTTCTCCCCAGTAGTCAAGGAAAAAAATGCAGCAGGTTTTTACTGTAGATTTTCAGGTAATGTTAGGGAGGGTGAAGGTTTTAAATGGTGTGCCATCAATCATAAGCTTTTTCTTTTCAGATTGCATCTGATGCCAGAAGGCAAACACAACCTCCATTTGCGTTTTGCAAATGAATTCAACAAGTTAGCTGAAGACTTCTTACAATGAAAATGTCCCCAAGAATATGTTACCTGGTGATTCTTCAGCATGGAGCTTCAACCTGTTGCTGCCTCTGAAACCCACCATGTCACACCTCAGTGCACCTGCCTTCCAGGTTTCTACTCCCTACAACTCCTCCTAACCCAATATTGATGACATTAAAAACATCCTCTAGCTTTAATAGCTACAGAAGTTAAACCTAACTTCTTAACATTAAGTTGTACATTTCTACTGTCTTAAAAAATAAATTCCTAGCATGATTTACCTTATTTGCAAACACATCTTAGATGAGCATTTGTAGTGCTCCTGACTGCTATTTTAGGGCACCTTAAATTCATGCTGTACCATTTCTCTGAGAAGTACAAGTAGTCACTGGTCTTTTTCATTGTAGTATCACTTTGTGCAAAGGAAGTAAAGAAAGAGAAGAAAGTCCTTGCCTGGGGTCCTCAATTCCACATTTCACAGGGTTGCTCTAACTCGGGCAAAAGGAAGAAAGTTTGCTTTATTCTCAAATCTCTCTTCACTCCCTTACCGTTACTGGATTCCTTTACTTTAATGCTTTGGGCCAATGAAAATGAAAAAAATATTTCTTTTTTAATCTCTTTACTAAAAGAACTATTACTTAAAACAATAAGTAAAACAAATTCTATTTTGTTAAAATTACTAAACCCAGAAACATATTCAAAAAAGTATCTAGTGAAAAAAATAAAAATAAACCACAAGATTTTGGACACATGCTTTTTAATTACTATAGTATATTTCTTAATTTTTAGAGGAGTTCCACATTATTATATCAACAGTGTGAATTTCTGACAGAGGCAAAACTGAGCACCATAGATACAAATAGAAAGACCATGCTTGATTGAGGACAACAGAAATTCACTAACGTTGCAAAATGTATTTGAGTCCTTAAGCCTCATCCTCGCCCTCCTCCTCCTCGAATTCCCCCTGCTCGTCGGCCGTGGCGTCCTGGTACTGCTGGTACTCGGACACCAGGTCGTTCATGTTGCTCTCGGCCTCGGTGAACTCCATCTCGTCCATGCCCTCGCCCGTGTACCAGTGCAGGAAGGCCTTGCGCCGGAACATGGCCGTGAACTGCTCCGAGATGCGCTTGAACAGCTCCTGGATGGCCGTGCTGTTGCCGATGAAGGTGGCCGACATCTTCAGGCCCCGGGGCGGGATGTCGCACACGGCCGTCTTCACGTTGTTGGGGATCCACTCCACGAAGTAGCTGCTGTTCTTGTTCTGCACGTTGAGCATCTGCTCGTCCACCTCCTTCATGGACATGCGGCCCCGGAAGATAGCGGCCACCGTCAGGTAGCGGCCGTGGCGGGGGTCGCAGGCAGCCATCATGTTCTTGGAGTCGAACATCTGCTGGGTGAGCTCGGGCACCGTCAGGGCCCGGTACTGCTGGCTGCCCCGGCTGGTCAGGGGGGCGAAGCCGGGCATGAAGAAGTGCAGGCGTGGGAAGGGCACCATGTTCACCGCCAGCTTGCGCAGGTCTGCGTTCAGCTGGCCGGGGAAGCGCAGGCAGGTGGTGACCCCGCTCATGGTGGCAGACACCAGGTGGTTGAGGTCTCCGTAGGTGGGGGTGGTCAGTTTCAGGGTGCGGAAGCAGATGTCATACAGGGCCTCGTTGTCGATGCAGTAGGTCTCGTCTGTGTTTTCCACCAGCTGGTGGACGGAGAGGGTGGCGTTGTAGGGCTCCACCACCGTGTCGGACACCTTAGGCGAGGGCATCACGCTGAAGGTGTTCATGATGCGGTCTGGGTACTCCTCCCGGATCTTGCTGATGAGCAGCGTGCCCATCCCTGACCCGGTGCCACCCCCCAGCGAGTGGGTCAGCTGAAAGCCCTGCAGACAGTCACAGCTTTCTGACTCCTTCCTCACCACGTCTAGGACCGAGTCTACCAGTTCAGCCCCTTCCGTGTAGTGGCCCTTTGCCCAGTTGTTCCCGGCCCCACTCTGGCCTGCCAGAGAGAAAGAATATTAGACACTAAAGTGTAAGGAATTCCCAGTTCTACCATTTGCACTCTGCACCAGTCTTAGAGGTGCAGACTCTTCCCTTTTAGATACCGTTTTCTACCTACAGAAAAATTTTCTATATCAGTGACCTTGAAAAACACTGGAGCATCGTCCCATACACCAAAAGGTGGCAGTTTTGCCCTGGCCAGTTTGGCTCAGCGGTTAGAGCGTCGGCCTGTGGTCCGGAGAGACCCGGGTTCAGTTCCCGTTAAGGGCACGTACTTCGGTTGCAGTTTGTCCCCGGCCCTGGTTGGTCGTGCGGGTGGCAGCCACTCGATGTGTCCCTTCACGTCGATGTTTCTCTCTCTCTCTCCCTCCCACTCTATCTGTACAAAAAATGGAAAAATATCCTCGGGTGAGGATAAAAAAAAACAAACAAACAAAAAAACAAAAGGTGGCAGTTTTGATTCCCTGTCAGGGCACATATCTAGGTTGCAGGTTCGCTCTCCAGTTGGGATGCGTACGGGAGGCAACTGATTGATGTTTCTCTCTCACATTTCTTTCTAGACTCAATAAAAGACATGTCCCCAGATGAGGATTAAAACAAACAAAAACAAATTAGGTCCCATTAACAGACAAGGGCAACGGCACAATGAGATCAGAAGAGGACACTGGCTCTAAGCCAGTGCCTCAATTCTGCTCATATCCTGTGCCTTTGCTTCTTGAAGTGGCCACCTATTGTCATGGGTCCTCTGAAATGACCAGTGGCCCAATAACTCCTGTTTGAAGCTTTTTCATTGTGCTTTATCTTTCCCCTTCACAGGCTGCTCTGTGTGCGAGGGCTACGCCCTCTGCAGGCTCACACTGTTCTTTGAGCTGTCCCGACAGTCACCGCCCGTGGACTAAGTGTAATTAGACCACAACTCAGGGATATCTATTGACACACAATGTCCACCTTGGCATTCCACACTAAACTGATTTCCACAGTGTTTAGGAAGAAAAAGACCCATAGAGCCAGTCCCCATTGATGGTGACTACATACCAAAGACGAAGTTGTCGGGCCTGAAGATCTGGCCAAATGGTCCAGACCTGACGGAGTCCATTGTGCCCGGCTCCAGATCCACCAGGATGGCCCGAGGTACGTACTTGTTACCTGCGGGGAGTAAGAGCTGGACTTAGACCTGCAATTGGCAAAGGAGTCAGACAAGGTGGTGGTGCTCTATGCGCCTTTCACAGAATTTATTAGAGATCATTCCAGCATGTGACGCAAAAGTACAATAGGGGAGCATTTCTGCTTTAGAAGAGGTAATGAGCATGCTTAGTCATGGCAAACAAGCAGGAGTCTTAAGGAAATGTAGTGCGTTTTTTAGCAGTTGACATTTAAAATGAATACAAGAAGCATTTCTTTGTCATTTGTATGTTCCTAGTATATTGCATCTGCCACAGTATGGAAAGCAAGGTTGATAGAAAAGCAAAAAACATTCAAATAATCACCAGCAGCTTCATTGTAGTACACATTGATTCTCTCCAGCTGCAAGTCACTGTCTCCATGGTAACTGCCAGTGGGGTCAATCCCGTGCTCATCACTGATGACCTCCCAAAACTGGAAATTAAAAAAAAAAAAAAAATCACCTGATGGCCTGACATCCTAAATATCAGTAAGGATGGCCCTTTTCTTCCTCTGGTGTCCTTGGAACAGTGGCCATGGTGGTCAGATGGTTAAGGAGTCCTGGACAGACCAGGCAGCTGTGCACCCCTATTCCTCCAGCAGAGGCTGCTGTGGGGCTTTGAAATTAGCAGAGCATCAGCCATATTATGGCTGATAGTCTGACAAGCTGGGAGGGGTCCTGAAGGAGGAGGGTGGGCACAGCAGTTCTGGGTAAACTGTGGATTCTGGGGAGGCTTTCACCCCCAGGCAAGGCTGATGTCAGCATCCCAACATCCCAGCTGATGGATGGGTCATGGCAGGACCAAGACCCAGTTGGATCCCACCCTGTGGCTGCCTTAGGAACCAATGTCTCCTGGCACAAACCCCACCCAGCCCTCCAAGCAGTGCAGTTTTATGCCACTGACATCCATACTGGCCTCTGGCCACTGAGCTCAGCGGGGGATGGGTGGGGAAAGGCAGGCAGGAGCCTGGGAGCACACCTGGGGCAGGGAATGAAGCTGGCCTTGGTGAGGGTGAAGACTCCGTTGTAAATTTGCAGCAGGGAAGGAGGGGAGGTTCGGGTGGGCAATATGGCGGTTCTGACAGGCTTCGTCCTTGTTCAGATGCCCGCCCACACCCGAGCACCATGCCCGCTCCTGCCCTGCCCACTGCGGTGGTAATTGCAGCCCCAGTACCGTCACCTGCCACCTTGGAGACAGGAAGCCAGATTGGCATTATATGTTAGCATGTCTAGATGGTCCTCGTATTAGGGAAATTATCTAACATTCTCGTCTTTGTATCCCAACAAGTAGTCTGTATAACATGTCACCTCAATGACACTGCATTTTTTTACTCAAACTATAGAGAAAATATCCAAGTTAAATTCCACACGAGGCCACTGGATTAATATGGCCTCAGCCTCTATCCAAATTTCAGAGGCTAATAGACCCAGAGAGATGCCAACTACAGGCAGCTGAAGGGTCGGTTCAAAGGACATTTCAAAGGGCTTTGATTCAAGGCACATACAGCTGCGTCGCTGCGAGCATCGCAGCAGGTGGTGTGGCTTCCTGAGCCGGCTGGCGGCGCACCGAAATTGCACTACTAGGGCGGGCGGGTACCTTCGGGACCCGTTGTCCCCCCTACCCCCAACACCCACCCCCAAGTCGGCCCCAGCTCGCACCCTCAGAGCCCGCTCCCCGCCCCCTCCCCCTACCCGGCCCTAGCTCGCACCCCCAGGGCCCACCGCCCCTGCCCGGCCTCTTCTCTTGGGATGCACCCACCTTGGCACCGATCTGGTTGCCACACTGGCCCGCCTGGATGTGCACGATCTCGCGCATGGTGCCGGCTGCAGAGGGGGGTGGAGGCGCTGGACCTCGGAACTGGGAATGCGGGAGGACCAGGAACTACGGCACTGAAACCCGCCGGCTCGCCCCAGCTCCACCTTTTATGCTGACCGACCCGCCCAGCCTGCGCTGACGTAGTGGGGGGCGGAGCTGAGGGGGGGGGCGGCCCGACGGAGACTGCGGCACCGCGAGGGGGAGCTGGGGCGGGGTGCGAGGTGCCGGGGTGCTCCGGCTGGTCTCCGCGACCGCTGAGTCCCCCAGACCCCGCACCCCAGGGCCTCTGACCCAGCCAGCCGCCTTCTCCCCGACGCGGGTGCCGCCCTACCCTGCACTGGGTTATTCAGGAAAACCAAATCCCCACCCCGCCCCGTCCACTCTGGATCCCGGAGAGGAGCTGGAGACCTGGGTCCTGAGACCAGGAGGAAAGGGTGCCTCCAAACAGCGTCCTTGCCTCCCGGGGGAGGGCGAGAGGCACCCAGCACTCTTTTGGAGTAGGGAGCCCAAAGTTTGCATTGGGGTCTACAGCGGTTTGCAAAGGTTTCCTGCGTTCTGGGCAGGATTCTGGACTCCTGGCCTCGTTCTCTTTCTATTCCGTTGGGAATTCGTGGCGAATGTGAACGCCAGGAGAGCCTGTAAGTGGGGAGGAGTGGGGGTTCCCCGAAGAGAACAAACGGGCAGGCCTTCAAGGAAAGCAAAGATGGCAGGATGAGCAGCTTTTCTCTCCTACACCTAAGGAAGATGGTCGGTTTGGGAGGGGCTAGGAAAAGGGACACGGTGCTGAATTTGTCTCAGGTCTGCTTTGGGTCTTGGTTCCTTGTAAAGGCCACTTAAATGTGGAAAATTATGCGTGCGTGTGTCAGGAAAGGGAATGGGAATGAATGTGAATAGAATAGCCACGCGTCAGCCCAAGTATGTGTGTCTGAAATACATTGTTGCCTAATCCTCACAGCAACCTGATAGAGCTGGGCAGTCCCATCCCAACGCCACCAGCACGTGTGAGTAGGGGCACACCTGAAACGAGGTTAGTGTGAATTGAGATGTGCTTTCCGTGTAAAAGACAGAGGATTTCATGGATTCCATAAGTTAAAAGAATAAAATATTTCACTACTGATTTTATATATTACATGTCAAAATATTTTGGATATATTTTGAAATTAAATTTCACTTGTTTCTGTTAACTTCTTGAGACTAGTAGTGACTACTAGAAAATTGTAAATGATCTGCAAGGTCCACATTGTATTTCTATTGAACAGCACTGTTCCAGAGCAAACATTGTTGCTGTCCCGATTTCATAGCTCAGAAAGGAGGCCGAAAGAGCTGACTAGCCACAAAGCTAGTAAATGAAGTCACCTAGATTCCTTCTACAAAGAGAAAGCCCCGGTGAGTGTTAAAGGCTTGGTTAGGGTGAGGTAAGGTCCAGCCTTCATTCTTCTCAAAGATGATCTTAACCAGTGGGCTAGGGGAGCAGAGACCTGAGACTGCTTTTGTTTCTCAGCACGCCCTTCTCTCTGGGGCCAGTTTCTACAACTAGGAAATGTTGATAATTATAGGAACCCCAAAGCCAGCTTTGTGAGCAGGAAATGAGAAGCTCTATATGAAAGGGGGTCCAGTTTATGGAGCAAAAATGCCCCATAAAACCCAAGGTGATGCTGTTATAAATACTAAGCCTATTCATCATGTTAATAGTGAGTATATATCTGAGGTGGGTGGGCAAATCATGGCTTCATCACCCCTGCTTTAGGAAACTGGTCCTTTGGTGTACCGCCAGCACACAGGCAGGCACCTGGGACCTTCTCTCAGAGTGGGACAGGTTTCCTAGACTTTCTCCTCTTTCTCCTCCCCATATGGCTGGAGCCCCCTCTACAGCCCATCCCATGGGTACTGCACCCAGGTTCCTAGGGTTGTGCTCCACCTGCTCTTCAGCTTTATCACCAACTCCCACATCTTGGGCTCTTCATGGCAGCTGGAGTCTTCCAGAGCCTCTCCAGAGAATGGCCCTGCTCCAGATAACTTCACTGATTACACAGTTCCACAAAGATTTTCTGGAGATAATTGCCTCTTGGCCTTTGTTGTTTCATTCAGGGTAGGAATTTGGGGCCAAAGAGTAGCAGACAATAAGACCAGGAAGCTGTGCTATTGGGATAGTCAGGACTCTAAACAGGTGGACATCTCCCTACCTGTGGAGCTGTAGATCACCGTTGTGGAGTGTGCCCATTCGGCTACATCCTGATTGGGTCATTAAGCAAGTAACCTAAACTCTCAGAGTCTCTCTTCTTCTATCTGAAATTTGGAAATCTGTTTTTATGCTGATGTGAAGATGAGAGACAGTCTGGTAACTAGACCTTTAGTGTACACGGTCAGTAAGTAAGTGACAATATTTATTATAGCAGGGCCCAGACACCTAGGGACCACCTGCTCTCTGGATTACTGTCAGCACATGTTCTTCCCAAGGCTGCCTCCTCCTGCCACCTGACAGACACCCAAGACTGCTTGCTTGTTTGCCCAACACTTGCCCCTGGTGTCAGAGAAGTGTAGTAGGCAGTTACACAGACATGAGCAAAGCAAGGGCAGTGGGGCAGGTACAGAAGGTCACCAGAAAGCCTCGGGTGCCTAGCAAAAGGCAAAATTGGGAAAACAAGGACCTCGAACCCAGGATAACCCCTCCTCCCCTAGAATATTGCTGGTCATGCAGTTTGGACCCCCCTGACCTTTCATATCAATGGTCATGAGTTTCCAACCCTCCCTTAACCTTTCCTCGCCTGGCATGCCACTAGTCATGTGATAGACCCCTTTGGAGGAGAAACAAAAAGCCGAAGAGTGGCCTCATGCAACTCCCATGCAGGCCCTTGCATGACCACTCCTTAAACATTAACCCCTAGGGACAACATCTAGGCCTCAGTTATGTTTCAGTTCCAGGCCCAGAAAAGCAGCAAAACCAGACAAGTGAAGCCATGGCTGACCTCAGGACCAGCTGCACTGACTAATGACCCCCTGCCCTGGCACTCACTGATCAGCGGAGATCAGGCACCACCCTGAAAGGACACACCTGGAAAACTGATGAATAGTCTATGGAGATTGCCCCCTGAGACCTCCAGATAACTATTCTCAATACTGAGGGCCCAGTGAGCTCCCCAGGAGCACACACGGCCTTTACCCTCCCACTCACCTTCCCCCCAGGTGCATTACCTTACCTTTCTCTTTCCTAAGCTCCAAGAGCCCATCTTTGTTTGGCCTCCGTAACTTGTTTCCTGAGCCCATGCCCAGCTGGCACACTTTTTCTACCTCTGTGACTTTCTAAAATTCCTCTTATAATTTGAGTCTTGGCTCTGAATTATTTCTAAGCCAGAACTCAAGCACTCAGATTGTTGAACGCAGGTCCAATTGCCAGTGGTATTCTGTGCCATTTTGCCACCAACAAGAGCACACAAGCAGATTTTTAGATAATGCCTGCCCAACCTAAGGTGACTCATCAGAGGGCTGTGAGCTCCGGCTCCCTCCACCAGCTGGGCATTCCGACCACCAGGCCATCACACAGCAGTGCCATTCTGCACAGCACCCTTCCCGGGAATGGGCTGTTGATGAGCTTTGGGGGAAAGGTGGTTTCCCCACACCTTCCAAACACTGCCTGTTTCTCTTCGTGTCTAAAAAGGAACAACTCTCTGGCTCTGTTGGGCAAGGGGAGGGGGAGAGGAGCCAACATTCTCCTGCCACACGTCATTTCCTGCTTTGGAACTGCTCTCACCCACAGTGTTTGAGCCACCCTTCCCCTAAGGTGCTCTGGCGTGATGATGACAGACTTCAGAGTGCAGAGGGAAGGGGTGAATTCTGGAAAAGACTCCTCAGTGCCTTTTACAAAAGGGCTCCAGATCTTACCCTGCTCTCTGCCTGCCCTCCCGCCTGCTGCCTTCAGCCAGAGGGTTCTGGTACAAGGCCCTCCATACCTGGCATTGGGATACTGATGGTTTCTGTTCATTGGTGCTATCTCTAAAGTGACAGGCGTGATCTAGTTGAAGTATATTTAGTTGCACATCCTGAAATTTTGAGGACATCAAGTAAGAACCATCTCAGAAAATTCCCTCAGTTATTCTGGAACAGTCTCGTATCCTATTTGATTGTATTCTCATAAGCAGGGTATGAGGAAACTCCCGTAAAACTCATCTTAATGACCTGCCTGCTTCTTTGCACACGTCTTCAGGCTTTTAATAAAAACATCTCTTCATGAAGGTGGAAGAATTTTACTTAAAGCATTTAAGGTGCTTCCATTTTGAAAAGATTGTCTAAAGTATAAACAGCCTGGACTCCAATATCATTTACTTTGAAAATGTCAACTCCACCAAAGTTTATAACTTTTGCACCAGAAAATAATTTGGAGTAAATATTATGGTAGTTTTTCAGCCACCTTCTAGAATTTTTTATACCCTAGTATGTGTTATTTTTACTAGAATTGTCAATCTAGACATTTCAAAATTGAGAATGTTTGAGTATAATGTACACAACATTAGATATACATATATTTTATTGTGCTAAGAACACATTTTATATGTACACATTTTCTGATTATAAAATTAGAAGATTTAGAAAATACTAAAGAACACAAATATGTCTTCCCATTCTTCTCTAGATGTATTTTTTTTACTATTCATGTTTGATGTATTTCTTTTTTTTCCTTTTCATGGGTCGTTCAGGTGTTTTTGTTTGTTCCTTGTTAACATAAGTTCAATTATTTTTGCCTTCAACATTAAGAATGTAAAACTACTATATTTTAATATGCCATGATTTAAATCAGACATGATCTTACAAATCCGCAAATATATGTAATCTCTGAATTGCTACCATTTTCCTGGAATCTAGGGTGTCTGGCCATATCAGATTCTCTGGGCAAATGGTCTTTGCTTCACTGGCCAGGGCTGTTCACATTACTGGAATAAATGTCCCCCATCCCGCTCCCCCACAGTCCCTGAGTGGGTAAGAGCACAGGCCCTGTTCAGAATTGATGCAAATCCTGACTATGCCCCTTATTAGCTGTGTGAGCTCAGGCAAGTTACTTAACCTCCCTGTGCGTCAATGACCTCATCTGTAAAG